GTGTGTGTGTGTGTGTGTGTGTGTGTGTGTCCCCGCTGGGGGTCTGCCCCCAGCCACGTTGGAGGCTCAGAGTAGGCGCTGTGTGTGTGTGTGTGTGTCTGCTGGGGGCCTGCCCCCAGCCACACCTTGGAGGCTTGGAGCAGGCGCCCCCCTCTGTTGATCTCTCAGGCTCCTGGCCTCCACTGTGTGTTGTACTTTCCCTTGAGCTGTGGCCAGGGTGGGGTGCTGCCTACAGGCCATGCTTTCCTGCTCTGGGATCACATCAGCGACCCAGGAGCAGGCGCACACGGGGGCTGCCTGCAGGCCGCCCTTTCCTGCTCACCGATCGCTGGATCGCCAGGACACCCGGGGTCACGCCCTGCTGGGTGCTGCCTATGGGCGGCACTTTCCTGCTCTCTAATCGCCATGGGGTCCCAGCTGGGGGCGGGGCTTAGGCAGCGTGATTGTGCCGCCTAAGTCCCGTCGCCCAGGACTACACACAGGGCCCGGATGGCAGCTGGCGCTGTCCCGCCCTGCCTGCAGTATGTAAATTAGCCGCCATCTTTGTTGGTGGCTAATTTGCATATCGTGCTGATTAGCCAATGGGAGGCATAGCGAAGGCATGGTCAATTACCATCTTTGTCTATTATTAGATAATTTCCAGAGTTAAACAGAGTATGAGTTTTAAAGTGCACACTGTTCTGAGTAGCATGATAAAATCTCCACACTGTCTTGCCCATGATCCTCCCTTTGTCTAATCTCTCCACACTGTGTATTTACACTCCCTGCCCCTTAGTCACAGAGTAGCATCTCGGTTATCAGAACCGCTGTGGTGGAGTTACAGCACTTATAGGAAGTGATTATTTTATTCAATAATAATGGTCCCAAAGCACAAGAGCAGTGATGCTGGAAATCCAGAAATGACAATGAGAAGCCTTAAAGTTCTTTAAGTGAAAGTTCTTGACTTAATAAAGAAAGAAAATAAATCGTATGTTGAGGGGAACAAATTTTCTATGCCTAAAATTGTGAAGGAGAAAAATGCCTGCTAGTTCTGCTAGCACACCTCAAACTGCCAACATTACAGCAACCGTGTGTGATAAGGGCTTAGAGGGAAAGGCATTAAACCCGCAGGTGGAAGGTGAGCAGAACCTGTGTTCTGACTGATGGCGACGTGGTGCCCCAGAAGCACTGAGCCTACAGGAGGACGTCAGCCCAGGGTCCCCTGACACAAGTGCCCACATTCACATAACTGTTATTACAGTGTATTGTTAGAATTGTTTTATTGCATTATTAGTTACTGTTAATCGCTTATTGTGCCTGGTTTATAAATTAAAGTTTATTATGGGTACATATAGGAAAAATAGAGTTCATTACAATCTGCGGTTTCAGGCATCTGCTGGAGGTCTTGGAACGTGTCCCCCACAGATAAGAGGGGACGACTATATTACCTACTTAACACGTTAAGCGCCCTATCAGTCACCAGTGACTGACACTATACTTTCCATCCGGAAGACAAAACAGGCTGGGCGCTTAATGTGTTAAATCGATTCTAAAAGATAGAAATTCAGCCTGCTCACTAAATTCCAACAGTCATTCGAGGATAGAACCTGTTTGAAGTTTAGGTGAGATGAGGGAGCAAGGGCTTTGATTTTAGGGATTAGAGACATGATTTTATTTTGTGAGCATATCCAAAAGAATAATAGAACCAAGTAAACTTCTGTCTTAACATGATGCCCAGCCTGACATAAATCTCTCTGTGTTCATTTCTGGGTCCTGTAAATGGTAATGTAGCACCGAACTGCTTTCAGCCTTGTCAGGCCAAGTAAGTAGGCCTTCCACAAAATCATTTCCTGGAAATCATGTAGAATCAGAAGTTTTCTCTTCTTCACTTCAGATGGTACACATTTTTAGCACTTAATCCTTTCACATGCACATAAAAACATTTATTGTTAGCAGTAAAAAGTATAAAGGATCAGATGAAGTTATTGGAAGATATAAAAGACCCTCCTGCCCTAGCCAGTTTGGCTCAGTGGATAGAGCGTCAGCCTGCGGACTGAGGGGTCCTGGGTTCAATTCCGGTTAAGGGCACATGCCAGGGTTGCTGGCTAGATCCCCAGTGGGGGGCATGCAGGAGGCAGCCAAACAATGATTCTCATCATTGATGTTTCTATCTTTCCCTTTTCTTCTCCCTTCCTCTCTGTAATCAATAAAAATAAAATGTTTTAAAAATAATAAAATAAAAGACCCTCCTGTCCTCATGTTGTTTCCACCAAGTGATCTTTTTTCTTCTATTCTTCGACCTGACCAGTTAGGTTTTGCTAAGCATTTTTAACCTTTCCTCATGTTAATATTTCATCACTAAGCATTAGCAATATGTTGTTTCTATGTGTTTATTGAATAAACAAGTGCTCTACCCTTTTACTCTGGAGAGAGAATACAGTGTGTAAATGCAGCTCATAGAGTTTCTTTATTTTCTTTAGCCTTGGAGGAGGTACCTTTCTGGGCTTATGCAGTTTATTGACTGGCTGTGAAAGTTTTGAAGAGGCTCTTGAAATGGCATCCAAAGGGGACAGCACCCAAGCTGACAAGCTGGTCCGTGATATTTATGGAGGAGATTATGAAAGATTTGGTCTGCCAGGTTGGGCAGTAGCATCTAGGTAAGTTTAACACTTGTGTTGTAATTAAAGTTGTTTATTTATATCCAAATATATAAGGAACTCATATAATTTACACCAAAAAAAAAACTCCAAACCAATTACAAAATGGGCTGGGGTCCTAAACATACATTTCTCCAAAGAGGACATACAAATGGCCAATAGACATATGAAAAGATGCTCAACATCACTAATCGTCAGGGAAAGGCAAATTTAAGCCATAATGAGATACCACCTCACACCTGTCAGGATGGCTATCACCAACAAATCAGCAAATAAGTGTTGGCAAGGATGTGGAGAAAAGGGAGCCCTGGGGCATTGTTGGTGGGGTTGCAAATTGAGGCAGTCACTATGGAAAACAGTGTGGAGGTTCCCCAAAAAGATTTAAAGTAAAACTGCCACAAGTTCCGGCAATCCTACTTCCGGGTATTTATCTGAAGAAATCCAAAACATTAATTTGAAAAGACATATTCCCCCATATTTTTTTTTTTTTTTTTCTTTTTTTTTTAAATATATTTTATTGATTTTTTACAGAGAGGAAGGGAGAGAGATAGAGAGCTGGAAACATCGATAAGAGAGAAACATTGATCAGCTGCCTCCTGCACATCTCCCACTGGGGATGTGCCCGCAACCCTGGTACATGCCCTTGACCGAAATCGAACCTGGGACCCTTCAGTCCGCAGGCCAACGCTCTATCCACTGAGCCAAACCGGTTTTGGCCACCCATATTTTCATTGCAGTGTTAATAACAGTAGCCACGTTATGGAAACACTCTAAGTGTTCATTGATAGACAACTGGATAAAGAACTTGTGATACAATGGAATAGTACTCAGCCATAAAAACGAATGAAGTCTTCCCATTTGCCACAACATGAGTGGACCTAGAGGGTATTATGCTAAGTGACATAAGTCAGACAGAGAAAGACAACTATTACATGATTTCACTTATGTGGAATCTAAAAAACAAATGAATAAACTTACAGCTACAGAGAACAAATTGATGGTTGTCAGATGGAAGAGGATTGTGGGGATGGGTGAAAAAAAGATTGGATTAAGATGTATAAATTGCAGCCGTATCAAATTCGGTGCCTGCCCACCCATGACGGGCACTGGCCCAGAAGGCTGCCACAGAAACACTGTGGTGCATGGGCACTGATCCCCTCTGCTGGGCCTCAGGGATAAGTTTGGCTACAGACATCAAGGGAAAAAAAAAGATGTATAAATTACCAGATATAAAAACAGTCACAGGAATGTAAAGTACAGCATAGGGAATATCTATAATAATAAAAGCATAATATGCTAATTAGACCGGACAACCTTCCGGATGAAGCTGGGGCTGCAAGGGAAGCCTGGGTCCTGGGTGCCAGAAGGAAGCCGGTGCTGGCAGCCAGGGGATGGAAGGCCTACTCCTCATGAATTTCGTGCATTGGGGCTCTAGTAGTCAATAAAAATGTACTAACTATGTATGGGTGTCAGATGGGTACTAGAATTATCAGAGTGATCATTTCCTACGTTATATAAATGTTTAGTCACTAAGTTGTACACCTGAAACTAATACAATATTATATGTCAACTGTAATTGAAAATTAAAAAATAAAGTTGCTTATTTAGTTTTTAGAAAGTGTTAAATATATCAGGAAGTTGTAAGGGGGCTTCTTCTTACTCAGTTTAGATTCCAAGTTTTGAAGGCTCATGTAGTTTGAGAATTAGATCTTAGATGTCTTCCTGAGTGCACCCTATAGGAGACCATTTTTATTAATCCTTGAGTATTCTTTCCATGATTATGTCTTTTCAAATTAGTGTTCTGGATTTCTTCAAATAAATACCCAGAGGTAGGATTGCTGAATCTGTGGCATTTCCATTTTAAATCTTTTGCAAATACAAATACATATCCTTATCCTCCCCTTACTTAGAAGGTAACATTTATATACCATTGACTAGCATACTGTATATCAGTGGTTCTCAACCTTCCTAATGCCGCGACCCTTTAATACAGTTCCTCATGTTGTGGTGACACCCAATTTCATTTCATTGTTACAAATTGAACATAATTAAAGCATATGATTAATCACAAAAAACAATATGTAATTATATATGTGTTTTCCGATGGTCTTAAGCGACCCCTGTGAAAGGGTCGTTCGCCCCCCAAAGGGGTCGCGACCCACAGGTTGAGAACCGCTGCTATATATACTTTTTAACTGATTTTTATTTTTATTTTACTATTTTTATAGAGAGAGAGGAAGGGGGAGAGAGATAGAAAAAGACATGGATTTGTTATTCCACACTTTTGTTGTTGTTAATCCTCACCCCAGGATATTTTTTCATTGATTTTTAGAGAGAATGGAAGGGAGGGGTAGAGACAAAAACATCAATATGAGAGAGATACCTCAATATGAGAGAGACACAGGGCAAGGCTCGAGCCTGTAACTGAGGTACATGCCCTTGACCAGAATCAAACCCAGGACCCTTTATTCTGTGGGCTGCTAACGCTCAACCACCCTCAAATTAAATTGGTGGATGTGAAATGTATTTAATAAGCATGACTGCCATAAGAAAAGAGATCATGGTACAACAACGAAACAGAAAAATGCATACATACATATACATACACACACACACACACACACTCTAGTCTTTCTCTGCCTCCTTTACCTTCTTTCTCTCCCTCCCATCCCTCTCCTGCCTCTATTCCCTTCCCTTCTTTCTTTCTCGTTAACAGCTTCATGCTATTTCATTGTTTGGTGATGTTTGGGTTCCGTTATTTTGGTATGTTCAGTTTAGTGGTTCAATTAATAACCCTGTATATGTGTAGATTTATCTGTAGGATAAATTCTCTGTATGTATGAAATGTTGCTTTTTATCAGCAGGTTTGATTTTGTTTTTTCATTTCTCTGCAGTTTTGGCAACATGATTTATAAGGAGAAGCGAGAATCTGTTAGTAAAGAAGATCTAGCAAGAGCTACTTTAGTTACTATCACCAATAACATTGGTTCTGTGGCACGAATGTGTGCTGATAACGAGGTAAGAAAATTTTAATTATATGAAAAATGTGAATTGGAGTTTTATGTACATATAGCAGGGCTTCTTCATGTTTCTTACAGAGACCTATAGGATAGAGACCTAATCCGTTAAACCCCAAGACTCATGGATGTATGTTAACACCCAACACTCATTAAGTGTGTATATTATGTACCCAATTGTTACATGACCTTTCAAGAAAGTAGCAGGTAATTCAAATCAGAAATAGCACAAATAGACATTTACATTTTGCCTTTTTGGAAATACAGCCTCGTGCTGCCTAATGACAGGTACATTCTGAGAAATGCGTCATTGGGTGATTTCATTATTGTGTGAACATAATAGAGCACATTTATCACAAACCTGGATGGCACAGCCTACACACGCGTAGGCTGGATGGCAGAGGTATTACTCTAGGCTACAAGCCTATACAGCATATTACTTGTACCAAACAACATGAGATTAAATCAAGCACAAGAAAAATGGTGCAACCAAGAGACCCATAGATCTATGAGGCTGCTGCTGCTGGTGTAAAATGGCATACTGTTTTATAGCAAACTGTCTTCTTTTTAGAAAGAGAACACTCTAGAATTACAGTAAGAAGTTTATAGTATAGTATGGTATAGTATAGTATAATATAGTATAATCCTATCTAATAAAAGGCTAATATGCAAATCAACCAAACTGGAATGAGCAGTTGCTATGATGCGCACTGGCCACCAGGGGGCAGACGCTCAATGCAGGTGCTGCCCCCTGGTGGTCAATGCACTCCCACAGGGGGAGCACCACTCTGCCAAAAGCCGGGCTCACGTCTGGCAAGCTCCTCGGCAGTGGCAGGAGATTCTCCCGTCTCCGCGGCAGTGCTAAGGATGTCCGACTGATGTCTTAGGCACACTCCCTGTGGGGAGCAGGCCTAAGCTGTTAGTCAGACATCACCCAAGGGCTCCTGGGCTGCCAGAGAGATGTCTGACTGCCAGGTTAGACCCAACTCTGCCAAAAGCCGGGCTCACGTCTGGCAAGCTCCTCGGCAGTGGCAGGAGATTCTCCCGTCTCCGCGGCAGTGCTAAGGATGTCCGACTGATGTCTTAGGCACACTCCCTGTGGGGAGCAGGCCTAAGCTGTTAGTCAGACATCACCCAAGGGCTCCTGGGCTGCCAGAGGGATGTCTGACTGCCAGGTTAGACCCGATCCCCGGGGAGTGGGCCTACGCCGTCAGTTGTACATCCCCTGAGGGGACCCAGATTGCAAGAGGGTGCAGGCTGGGCTGAGGGACTCCCCCCCCCACTCCCACCCCCTCCCGAGTGTGCACAATTTTTGTGCACCAGGCCTCTAGTAAGTATATAAGCCAGTAACAGACATTTATTATCATTGCCAAATTGTATATACTGTACAAAATTGTTCTGTACTTTTATACGACTGGCAGTGCCGTAGGTTTGTTTACACCAGCATCACCACAAACATTTGAGTAACGTGTTGTGCTACATCATCAGGATGGCTGTGACATGGCTATGACATCACTAGGTAATAGAAGTTTTCAGCTCCATTGTAATCCTTTGGGACCATCATATATGTGATCCTAAAATGTCGTTAGTCAGCACATGGCCGTACATGACCTAAATCTCTTAAAGATGTAAGAGAAAAAGGCAGTGTGTTTTAGTGTGTTTTGTGTTGTCTTTTTCCTGGTACTGTTGCATTTGATTGGTGAAGTGTTTGGAAGTTTTCTTACTGCCCTCGGCTTCTTTACAGTGCTGCCTTGTTGCATATGGATCAAGCAGCATTGTACAGGGCTATGAAGGCATTGAGACTCATTCTTCGTATACTTACGAAAAGCATGTACTGCTAGCTAGACCTATCTCATATTTGGGTTATTTTTATTTGAAGGAGGCTATATATACAATTCTTTCTTCATGTGGTAGATATATTTGTCCATTTAATTTATGTTTTTTAATTGATTTTTTTATTTTCAGAGAGAAAGGAAGGGAGGGGAATAGAGAGATAGAAATAGCCATCTGCTGCCTCCCACACGCCCCCTACTGGGGATCGAGCCCGAAACCCGGGCATGTGCCCTGACCCAGAATCAAACCAGCAACCTTTTGGTGTGTTGATGATGCTCCAACATTGAGCCAAACCGGCCAGGGTCCATTGTATTTTTGTAAATGTCAAGTACTTTTAACTGAATGGAGACTTGGCTTTGTAAAGGAACCCTTTATTAGTCTTCATTCATTCACTTATTCGTTGGATAAATATGTACAGGTCGCCATGTGCTAGGCATCGTTCTAGGCCAGTGATGGCGAACCTTTTGAGCTCGGCGTGTCAGCATTTTGAAAAACCCTAACTTAACTCTGGTGCCGTGTCACATATAGAAATTTTTTGATATTTGCAACCATAGTAAAACAAAAATTTATATTTTTGATATTTATTTTATATATTTAAATGCCATTTAACAAAGAAAAATCAACCAAAAAAATGAGTTCACGTGTCACCTCTGACACGCGTGTCATAGGTTCACCATCACTGTTCTAGGCACTTGGGATAATTAGTGAAGGAAACAGTGATCTCTGACGTGGTGGAGCTTACATCTATTCGAGTGATGTAGTAAATAAGTATTCAGTTTGTGTTAGGTAACAAATGCTGTTTTTCAAAATGAGAAAATCAAACAGGACAAAGAGAATTTGAGAATAGACCAGAGCGTGGCAGAGGACAGATTGCTGTGTAATTGGGTGGTTGGAGGAGGCTTTATTGAAAATGTGACATTTGCACAAAGATTTAAAGGAAGCAAAAGAATCATACATGTGGATATTTTGGGGGGAAAGAGGATCCAACAGAGAGAACAGCTGTGCCAAAACCCGAATTAATGTTCTGAATTATTATTTAAATCCAGAATTTTATTTCTTTAGTTTTTAATAATAATGTAGTTAAGTTGGTTGAGGGAATCACTAGCAGGCATTTTAACCTCAGTTTTGGGGGTCCACTTTTGAGACCTATTTTCTTAGCCCTGTGTCTAGATTTTCACTGGCCAATTGTCTTAACAATAATTCTGGCCAGAGTTCACGCTGGCAAATCCAGTGTGCAAACATGTATACTCAAAGGGTCAATTTATTAGTATGAGTAGAAATAGGTGTTCTGGACGTACATATTCTGGAGAAACCAGTTCCTCCATCGAAGGTTCCTAGCCGTAGAGACACCTAAGGAGCCAAATTAGTGAGTGGGATCTTAGCAGAATGATGTGATGGGTTAGGCGGGAGCCTAGTGGTCGGTGTGCATGCCATACCCAGTCAGTGTTGCTCTCCAGCTCTGTATAAAGTCCACAGGTTGTGTGTCATTGTTGAGCATACATTGCAACATACTGGCCAAGTTTACAGCTGCTTTTAATCCTAAACACATTTTTTAACATATTTTATTGATTTTTTTTTTACAGAGAGGAAGGGAGAGGGATAGAGAGTTAGAAACATGGATGAGAGAGAAACATTGATCAGCTGCCTCCTGCACACTCCCTACTAGGTATGTGCCCGCAACCAAGATACATGCCCTTGACTAGAATCAAACCTGGGACCCTTGAGTCCGCAGGCCGACACTCTATCCCCTGAGCCAAACCGGTTAGGGCAATCCTAAACACATTTAACTCTTCTTTGGTTGATCTCCTTTAATCTCAACAATAGCACCTCTCCAAATTGCTATATTAAATGAATTATTTCTTGGCCATTTTCGCAAACAGGTCTCATCTATAATCATTTAAGTAGCATCTTTTCCAGAACTTTTCTTTTTTAAAATAGACTTTATTTTTTAGAGCAGTTTTAGGTTCACAGCAAAAATGAGTGGAAAGTACAGAGAGTCCTCATATACCCCTGACACCACGCCTGCACAACCTCCCCAGTTTCCATCCAGCAGCTCACTGACTCACTCATTACAACCCATGAACCTACACTAACACACCATCACCATCCAAAGTCCATAGTTTATACTTGGGTTCACCCTGGCTGTACATTCCATGGTGTGTAGTAATGTCCAAAAGTCATGTTTTTAAATATACAGGATTATGGAGGTATATGCCAGGAATGTAGCAGGCACTAGCAAGTGGTAGTTATTTACATTTTTAAGTAGAGATTTTGTAAACCCTCTTGTATTGTGAAACCTACTTACAATTCTTTCTTTATTTTTTTATTTTTTTATTGACAATCCCCTGCCTTCCCTTACCCCCCAGTGTCTTATGTCCATTAGTTATGCTTATATGCATGCATACAAGTCCTTCGGTTGATCTCTTACTCCCCTCCCTCCTGCCCCCCAACCCTCCCTGGCCTTCCGCTGCAGTTTGACAATCAGTTTGAGGCAGCTCTGCCTCTGTATCTATTATTGTTCAAAAGTTTGTAATGGTCTTTATTATCCATGAATGAGTGAGATCATGTGGTATTTTTCCTTCATTGACTGGCTTATTTCACTTAGCATAATGCTCTCCAGTTCCATCCATGCTGTTGCAAATGGTAAGAGTTCCTTCTTTTTTACAGCAGCATAGTATTCCATCGTGTAGATGTTACAATTCTTTCTTAAAGTCATTTTATTTGTTCTTTTCCTTTAGAAAATAAACAGAGTTGTCTTTGTTGGAAACTTTTTACGAGTCAATACTCTCTCGATGAAACTTTTGGCATATGCACTGGATTACTGGTCAAAAGGACAACTGAAAGCATTGTTTCTAGAGCATGAGGTATGACAGCAAAATAATGTTTGTGAATTTTAATAGCATGCTTTTATATGCAGGCTTCTTGTGTAAAGTACAAACTACAATTTACCTAAATTGTATATTGATTCCTCACTTCAGTTTGAATTGGGGGATCAGGGTTACTGTAACCTGGCAGGCACCGCATTAAGTTGAGACTTCACAGTTCTGAGAGAGCAGTATCAGCTCCTTAAATATTGGGCTGCTTGTACACTTAGTGGATCTTATTTTCTCCCCTGAGGTAACAAATGTTAAATGTGAACAATACAAAACTATATAATTTAGCAATGAAAATGAATCTTCCCACCACAACCTCACCCTCACTGCCAGAGATAACCACTGTTAACATTTTGGAGTTTATTATTCTTTTTTTTTTTTTCATATTCACTACAGCCAGTTAAATTTTGATCTAAGCAAATATCAGTTTACATAATGTTTCAGATTAAGTAAATTTACCTCAAATTATTTTGTTTCTGGTCAGTCAACTGGCTACAAGAGTTTTAATAACACAGGTTCAGAGCATTTCCTTAAAAGCATGCATATTTCACTGTCACTGCTCTCACTATAGAGATCAGAATGAGAAACGCCAAGTTGCTGCATGCGGGATGGAGTCACTGAAATTGGCAGGCTTAGCCAAGGGAAGTTAATTGAGGAAATGGGGGGAGGGGGCACAGAATTGCAATAATAGCCCTAGAAATTTTAGTGTCTAAAAGCCACACTTTGCTTTGCCGGTGTGGCTCAGTGGTTGAGCGTCAACCCTTGGACCAGGTTACTGTTTGATTCCTGGTCAGGGCACATGCCCGATTTGCCAGCTTGATCCCCAGTAGGGGGCGTGCAGGAGGCAGCCGATCAATGTTTCTGTCTCATGATTGCTGTTTCTCCTTTTCTCTTCCTCTCTCTGAAATCAATAAAATCAATAAAAAGACATTTAATTTCTTTTAAACCACACTTTAAAAGTAGGTATTTAAAAGGTGTATATATTGAGAATACATTTTAAAATTTTTTATAATAGCTGACAAAACAAATTGGTAGATTTCTGAATAGATGTTGTTATAATATAAATGTGTTCTTAATAGTGGTTCGTATTGTATGATAATTTAAGAGCTGCACTACATTAATAATTGTTTTAAATTATACAGGGATACTTTGGAGCAGTTGGTGCACTTCTTGGGCTGCCAAATTTCAGCTAAAAGCATCAGGTTTATCTCTGATAATAAATGTCATCCAAGAGGAACAGAAAACCACAGGCATAATTGCTGCATTATTTGTCACTGGAAACGAAGGATAAAAGAGTAGCACTATTCCTGTTGCTTTTTAAATGTCAAAATGGTAAGCTGCTAAATGTTGCCATAGTAACAGCAAGAACTCGGTAGCAGGTGAAGTATTTCTAATTGAAATGCTTTCCCTTTTGTATATAGCCAGTGTTAAATCCTTAAATGCAGTACAGCCTCTGATTATTGAGCTTTCTCTCAAAAAGATTTTCTATTTATTTTATGTAGCCAACATTGCAGTACTGTATGCTCAAACAAATCTTAAAAGGCTCAGAAATGTTTATCTCATAAAAATAATTAATTCTGAATATTTGTTACAAGTCTATTCTATGTTTTGGGTATTAGTAAGCAGACCGTAACATACCCTGTATCAAAATTAATTGAAATGGCAATCAAAGATGATAATTTTTATGTGATTTTAGAAATGTCAAGGCAATACTAATTATTCATTGTTGTTTTCCTAACATATCCCCCCCCAAAAAGCATGTTTATGTCATCTTTGCCCAGAAGTATAACCTTTTTAAAAGAAGTACCTTTTTCAAATGCCATAATTTAATTGAAATATTAGCCTGAATTTTAAATGAATCTAGAAAATGCACATATTTGGTGACATTGCACTTTCTAGATTTCATTGTTAATCAGTACATTTACAGTGGTTAATATTTTGTAATTGGAAGCTTAATTATTTATTTGGAAGTCCTATGATGAGGTCCCAAAGACTCTTCTAATGAAGTATGGTTTGCATGCATTGGAGAGTTCTTTCTGTGCCACATTTATCTCAGGGCCAGACTCAGTCCTTTCTGTCTAATTAGGTCTGAACCATCAAAGCTAAAGACTTAATTCTATTATGAACAGCAACAAAATCACATTTATTCTAAATTGATGTTATAGAAGTCAGAGTTCTTTTGAAACTGGAATTCAGAGGCCGTACTGCAGAATTATAAAAGGATCAGTGTTTTGTACATCCTGGTAATAAAAGAATTATAACTCCTAAATTTACTGTAAATCCCTTTGCCTTAGAATTTGTTCTCTATTTTGAATCATTTTTTATAATGTTATAAACCTTTTCAGATTTTTACTTTGGCAGTAACATTTTAGAGCTCAGCGACGTCGTTAGAGACTATTGCTCATGGTTTTTATGAAGTATTGAGGCTTGGGAAGCTAGTCACCTCCTTAAGTTACAGTAAGTCTGATGTGCTTTGAAGAACGTACAGCTGTTTCCATTACGGAGAAGTATTGCGGTGTTTCCACACAACACAGTTTTGCTCCATGGAGAACAGTTTTCACTAGACTATCAAGAGGTGCTTAGAATTTTCAGAATCTGTGCTCAAATACTTATAATTCGGTTTTCTTTTACTCAAAGACATTAATATGAGTACTGGTGAATATGTAGAGAAAGTATGTCAGCATAATTTTTTAGAATTTAGAATATTTAGATCTTTGGATTCATGTCATTCAGTAGATATTTTGAAAACCTCCGACCAAACGTTTCTTTCATGTTTCCATTGTATTGACGAGATATTTCAGCCAAAAGCCGCCAATTCAACTTGTTTTAAAAGTTTGTGATTTGGGCATTGGTACAAAAAGTTTTAATTCTGAATATTTGAATATTTTAAAAGACCATAACTTCAAGTTATATTTCTGTGGCAAACGGTACATTAGCAGCCATAGGCTTAGGTGGAAATGGAATGATCAAAGTCTCTACAAGTTAGTTTGATCAATACTTTGTTTAATTTGGGACTATGATTCCTACTTTCTGTCCTCAAGAACTGCAGGTACTTGCTAACAAGCATGTAAAGGGGAGTGCTGTCTCACCACACTGCACTTGGCTTTTCTCATGTATAATCTAGACTGACTGGGATCATAAGGACACAGAATTATGATGAAGGCTGCCAAGATTCTACTTTTGTATCATGGCCTCCATGTGAGAATACAATGGTAAATAGGTTTGGTTATAACCCCAATCACTGTAATGCCTCACCATTTTGTGTTCTTGAACAGCGCTAATAGAAAGAAAATGTGAGGCACGTGAAATTTTACATTTTCCAGTGGGCACAGTTAAAGTAAAAAGAAATGGGTGAAATTCATTTTCATCATATATTTCAATTTAATTCAGTAAATATCTGACATGCTATTGTTTCAACATGTAATCAATATTAAAAGTTACTTAGATATTTTACGTTTTGGTCTTTTGCACTTGGTATTCAAAACCAGTTGGTATTTTATACTTAGAGCGCATCTCAATTTACACTAACCATGTTTCCAGTTCTCAGTAGCCAGATTTGGGTAGTAGCTACTGTATTAATGCAGTTTTAAAACTAGCTCTTAAAATTTGGCTTTAAAAAGCATGTTTGAGAGGGAGAAATATGGGAACCTTATTTTTTAAAAACAAGGGATAGGAAGTAGCTCGTTTGGATAGTTAATTTTATACAGACAAGCTGTATTTCTGACCATTCCAAAAATACCTTACATTGCATCCTATCCATCATAGTGTCTCCTTTCCCAGTGATACTGATAAAGTGCCCAGCACACATTCTGACTGCCCGCAGCACTCTCCAAAGTGCGTATTTCCTACACTGAAGCAAATTTGATGATTCCAGTGACTTAAATGCCCCCCCCCATCTTATCTAATTTAATTTTGAGAAGCCAATTTTAAGGGATTAAAAAGAGGCCCTATTCTTTGTTGAGTCATGTACAAGAGAATTTTTAACTTTCGGATTTAATTTTCATTTGTAAAAACTGGGTAACATTTTCAAATGCAGGAGCACTATCAACTTACTTTGAGGCTCAGTAAAGAACACAAGGTCTAGATAGAACTTGTCACGCCCCCCAAAAAGATTGCCTTTTAATTAGAGAGTTTTAGAACTAGTGGCTTTCAGTTCCATACCCCAACTTCCCCAGGACAAAGTATTGGTGGACTTGCCTGGCAGTTCCTTGTTCGGCTACTTTATTTAAATACGTGGACTCTTAGTATAGGAAAAGTCAATGCTATTGCCAATAATACACATGGTAATTGACAGGCCTTTAGGAAGTTCAGAATATTTGCCAAATATTAGACTGCAAGGGTTCCTGAGTTTTTTGCCTTTGTGTGCAAATGTGATTGCTGTGTTATAAGTTCTGGTTTCTGAAAGTTTCATTTCTGTAAGCGAAAGGATGCGGCTCAGAGGGAAGTTTTTCCTCTGTGTCCAGCGGTACTTTTGCCTTCTAAGAGTAGCTCATCACTCTTAGTCTTTTTTTTTTTTTATGTTTTTATTGATTTCAGAGAGGGAGAGATAGAAACATCAGTGATAAGAGAGAATCATTGATGGGCTGTCTCCTGCACGCCCCCTACTGGGGATTGAGCCTGCAACCCAGGCATGTGCCCTGCCGGGAATTGAGCTGTGACCTCCTGGTTCATAGGTCGATGCTCAATCACTGAGCTACACCAGCCAGGCTCGCCTTGATTTTTAAGGCTGCATTCTTGGGTGGAAAGCTTAGCAAAGCAATAGCTTCTAAATGTCCTTTGTAACCAGTCTGTATTATATAGAAAATTTTTCATATTTTTTGTGTATTATTTTTTTCTGGTTGAGCACTTAATGCTTTTTAATCTATTGCATTTGAGAATGTAGTTTAGAAAAAGACTGAAAGAATAATCACCAGAAAAAAAGAATGTGCATTATTTTTCATTTAACTTACTGCGTTGTGGTATGTACTAGTATAAGCAAAATACTAGAAACATGTTGCCTTTTGTAATAATACTCTTTGACCTGTTTAAGATGATTTGCCATGAAATGTCAATGATGTCCTATTTCCCAGTAAGTTGGTTTATCTTACTGTGTTTTATTCTCACACCGGAGGAATTCAGCCAACTTTGTTTTTTCATCAGATAATCTCACAAAATGGTATGCTTTGTACTACCACTACCTGTTTTCAGTACTGAGCCTGGTAACTGGCAGACCCAAGAAAGAATTTTCTTCCTTTAAAGTGTTTTAATAGCCTATGTTTTAAAAACTGTTGTGAAAAGTAACTCATCACAGCTTTTGAGTAATTTCCACTTTCAAAAAGTTCCGATGTCTTCAGCAGTCCCTGTTGTTGGAGTTGTCAGTCTTGTATGGTCAGCGGACGTGGGGTCATAATTTGGTTTTGTATTAGAAATAGCACCGGTCACTGGCCTAACTTCTTTAAATGTTTTATTTGTAAAACAAGGACATTGATTTGTCACAGTGGGATCATCAGTTACCATCAAGTTCCTGGGAAAGGCAGGTACTTGCCTCATGTGGCAGCGTCTGCAGTGACTGACCCAGTCGGTTCAGATGCTGGCCTCATGTCTTGGGATGTATTTTATGTGTATATGTTGATAGGTACTGGACTTGAATTCTCACCCAACCAATAGGATGGTATTAGTTATTTATCATGTTATGTTACTGCCTATAATGAGCAAGTAGATATACCTTAAACTAATATGAAGGGATACATACATATATTAAAGTGTGTAAACATATCTGGAATTTTTGTTGTGTTAACTTCAAAATTATATGTGCATTATTATAACTTTATTTACATTCTGGCCCTTACTATAATCAAAGATTATTTTTCTTAAACATTTTCAGTCTGTTTGCCACAGCTGCCACTAATTTTGTGTTTAAAAGAACTAATGAGGAATGTATTTTTCAAAGGCATAAATGAAGGTCAAAATCAAGATTTTGAATTATATAAATATGCAACTAAATTTCAATTCTAAAATAGTGCTATTTTTCTTTTTTTTGCTATTTCTTAACATCTTTCACACGTTGCAGTGCTTACAGTTCCAGTAGCTATCAAAGGGCACATCTGCTTAACATCATTTGTAAAGTATGAGTAGATAATGCAGATGGTTTGAGGTCACTTGAGCCTGCGCCCCCCCTCTGCATCATGGCTGCTGTGCCTGCAGTCAGTAGTTGTCGCAGGTGTGAAGCCATTTTGAAATCTGCCGTTTTTTTTACGAGGTGCCCTTTTTAGTTTACAACATTTAGAAACAGCAGGTAACTGTAGTCTCCTTGTCCAAATATAATGAATGGAATTAGATGTAAGTCATGTTAAGATGGTTTTATCATTTTTTTATACATTGTGTGTTTTCACTTTTTTTGACTTTTTACTGAAGTTCAATGGCATTTGTCTTAATTCTGCCCAGTTACTGACCAAATCATAAACAGATGTTTGTGTGTGTTAACTTTACTTCTACAAGCCATTTCAGTTTAAGTTGCCTTATTCTCTCAAGTTGTTCTTGTCAAGTTGTCCTTGTCTAAGCTTTGTCATGTTGAAATCCTAACACTGAATCTGATGTAAAAATGTATGATGTGCTACAAATTTTATTCATAACAAACTAAGTTATAGCCTATTGTAACCTATAAGACATTTTTTGTAAATTGTCTAATTTATTTTTTCATTTATGTACAGTTTCTTATGTAAATTTTTAGACTGTTTGTTGTGGCCTGTTCTGGAAACATTCTCCTCCTCTTCCTTAATGCTTATTTGCATGAGAGAACCTTGGGTTTGGCTGTTTGCACTGTAGGATTTGGCTGGTTTGCACTCTATGGCCATGAAGCCAACTTCAGCATTCTGCCTTCTTTTCTGTAGCTGGACTTTTTCTAGTTTTGTTCATGTTCTAAATGTTAAAATCATGCTTATTTCCTACTTTCCAAATAAATTCACTAAGTTGTTTACTATGTGCATCTTTGTATGAATTCTTTATTTTACATATTGTGTTCCCACATTTCCATTCTGGTTCAGTGTTGTGTCTAACTGAAGTCGGCTACAGCACAATGTACACGCCGAGGCAAGGACTGTGTGCAGACTGGTCACCTCTGCATCCCCGTGCTTGGCACAGAGAAGGCGGGCGATAAATAAATAAATAAATAAGTGTGTGCTGAGTGAATTCATTGTAGAGAAGTGTTACCTCTCCAGTCCGCCCATCTAAGACAGAAGTAACAAAGATGGTCACCACCTTCCTCTCCACAACATTAGGAAGCGCAAATGTTCCTCAGGGAT